TTTTTTAAGATTCGGTTGTACTTGTTATTTTTACGCGCACGTTTTAATTAGAGCGACGATCGATGAATGAAATTGTCCAAACGATGTTCGATCGCCGCCATTATTCTTCCGTTACTTGTAAATAGACAATAATGTTATTAAAAAAAAAAAAAAGCGATAGCAGTTTCGATTCGAAATGTGGTACGCGCGGCTCGAGTCGAAAATACTTGAAAAATACTAGTTATAATCGTTATCTTTTTCGGTCTAATTGTAGCGTTACAACGACCTACGCTGTTCAGTGTCGTTCCACACATTCGAATGCTACGATCTATATAAACGATACGATGCATAGCATTATAATTTTATAACGTTTACCGATAAGAACGGTGACGATGACTATGACAAAGACGATGACAATGACGAGGACGGCGGGAACGAAAGCGCTTTCGATAACAAAATTGTGATCGTGGTCAGCAATAAACGTTTGCGCGGACAGAGAGCACGTCCAGCGAGTCGAGGATTACGCATTAAGGCCCAACATGTTCTTATTATCTTCAAAGTGTGTTGTATCGAATCGGTAATTTTTAAATAAAAAGGGATATTTAAATCGGAAATATCGAAGAAGATTTATAACGAAACCAACCGCGATAAAATGAAAATGAGAATACTTAACTTGCGTAAATATGTATTATTTATTCTAGGAATACGAAATTATAACCTCGTTTCATCTTTGCCAACGACAACGATCATAGAGAACGACGAACGGAATAAACACACGAAGAGGAATTAAGAGCCCAAGAGCGTTTAAAGAAATTTACGATATTCTTTTTTTTTTTTTTTTTTTTGGTTTGTCAAAATACTCGTCTCGCTAAGTCCAAAGAGGAGGGGGATTCTTTCTCGATGGTGAGAGAAGTGTCGAGTGTATAACGAATAAATATTGTAAGCAGTGCGCGCGAGGGAAAGGAAGAAGTAAGCGCGGGCATGGCCACGAGAACGCAACCGACACTCGGACCAGCTGGCAAAGAGAAGTCGGTGAACGTGCAGGAAAACTTCATCCTTGTGTATTTTCGGCGATAACGGCCGCGATATCTCGACTAATCTCGGTTAAAGGTTGGGACGAGAGAACGAGCGGTCGCGTCCCCTCATTGGCGTAAACGTGAGGGGGGGGGGGAAACGAAGCGAGGAAGCCATTGCATTTCGCGCGCATTTCGAATCGAATTGGCGTATCCCTATCTTTAAAGCTTCGGGATACTTAGACACGAGTGATATTTTTCCATTTGCAAAAGAATTGCATTATGCGTAAACGAATTGTTCGAATTTCGAATCCTCGGTAAGCCTCGCTCTTACGACCGTGTCTCCTCACCTGAGTGTCCCAAGTCTTATCGAAGGAATCCCGCGTGTGTGCTCTGCAATGACGACACCCTCTTCTCTTGACTCGAGCTTCCCTCTTCTCCCGCTGTTTTCAACGATAACACGACGCATGCTCATTCTCTTTTTCTTTCTCTTTCCTATGTACACGCATTATACATATATACGTACATACATATTTACGTATATATATGTATGTATGTATGTATGTATGATGTATGTATATATGTATGTATCTTGTTCACCGTAGCTTAGATGTAAACCGATACCTTTCCGTCGTCGAGCAAGAAAAGAGGGGTAAAGAGTAATAAATTCCCAACTTCTTCCCTCTCCTTTTCCCATTGCTTCATTTCTACTCATCGTGAGAGACCATTTTAAAGAAGAAGAGGAGAAGAAAAAAAGAAGAGAGAGCGACTCTTTAAAAAATATATTTGCACGTTTTTCAGTGAAGGTGCGTAAAATGGGGGATCGTGCGAGACCAAGATGGCAGCGAAAGGGAGGCGAAAACGATCGATAAGTTGACAGGAGGATGAAGAAGCGATCAGGTTTGCCTGGCGTTCGTCTAATCGCGTATTCGGTCAATATTTAACGCGTTCGCGTTCGTGTCGCGCGTGCTTTCCCTCTCTCCCTTAAACTCGAATCGAAAAGCTTCGGTACGACGCTACCAGGCGGCAGCCGGCCCGAATCCCGTCGACACACCTTGGCAGCGCACCTGTGTCAAGCCGCGCGCCGCGCTCTCTCGCCACCTTCGCTCTCGAATCGTAACCGCGTCTGCGAGTCGATCGTCGACCGTCGACGCGACACAAATCGCATATTCACGTTCCTCGATATCGTGGCCAAAAAAACCTGAATCCTACGGAAATCATCACGTTCGATGCGAAACGATTCACCTTGTTCTCCTGCCACGGTAAGTATTTCTCGATCTTTCAATTTTCCCGCTTCGATTCGTTCACTTTTTTTTCTCTCGCTCTTTCTTCACGCTCTTCTTTACCTCTCGTTGGAATTCTCTCTTTCTCTTCTTTTTTTTTTTTTCTAATCGATTTATTTTATCGTCTCTTAGAGAGAGTATTGTTTGAAATATCGTAAATTTATCGATTACAACACACGATCTGGAATATGAAAATAAGATATCGAGACGAAAAGTCGCGAAAGACAAAAAAGAGTATAAATAACGGAACCGATCTATTTCATCGTTTATCCATAAGATGGACAGAAATCGGGGGGAGAAAGAGAGGAAGGGAGCGTGTAAAGAGGAAAAGCGGAAGAATTGGAAACGAAGGACGACGATATGGTATGATGCATGGGGCGTTGTATCGCGACACAGAGGTGTCGAGACGAAACGAGTCGTGGCAAGACGAGGTAGGGCGCGACGCGTTGAGTCAAGGCAAGCCGATATTTGGAAAGACGTATGGTAGCTCGGTTGTTCGGTAGCGCGTGCACGGACGAACGAACAAACGAAACGGAAACACTTGTGTTTTACGTTCGACAACACTTGTGGATGGACCGATCTTCTCTTTTCGTGGCTCGATCAGTTTTATTCGTCTCGTGCAAAGCCCGACTGTTTTTTTTCCCCAAGATTCGATCGTTTCAACTAATTCAAATTATTTTGCGGTTCACTCTTTTCGTTTCGTCCAATATACATATATACATATATATATATATATATAAGTCGCGTGCCACAACCATCTCGACGAAGTCTACCGCGAAACTATACGATATCGAGACGAGAGATACCCCTGTGCACAGATATTTTATTAATCGTTAAGCACATAGCTGTGGTAAGATAATGGAATAATATCGGGCAATGACGATAATGCTGTTTGTCGTGCGTGGCGTTAATTATTGGACTCGAGAGTCGCGTGATCGGTCGAGCAGATCGCGCTTCATCGTTTTCCCTCGAAAACGTGCAACCCTTTCTCGGAGGCTCGGCCGTCAAGCGTCGTCCAGATTCGTTCGTTCAAAGTGTCATTTCGTACAAATACGAGTATTTTAAACATGGCTCGAAACGTGCAGAGATCGTACGACTCTCGTAAGAAATTTTTACCTTATTTTATGGAAAGACGATTGTTTCTACGACGGTACACGGAGGAGGTGGATTGTTTATTCGTGGAAAGCCACGGAATACGTTCGTGCGTTGTAAATTATTACCTTAATTACGTTGTAAAGAGGCGCGATCGCGCGCAATAGAATCGGGCCGATGGATCGCGTTATCGTATCGTAAAGAGCTTTAAGGCGGTGCTCGCGATTCGAGAGTAGACCGCGACGTTTAAATCCATAGTCAAACTCGTTCTCTTCGTAGAATCTTAACGAGCAGTCACTCGAAATGTGTTTCGATTCTAATGCGAATTGAATCGAGGAGATGGAAAATTACCAGTCCCCGGATTCGGGGAAGCAACGTGTTGCGTAACGAAGCATGGATACGCGTCACCCCTTGCGCATGCGCTACCTTCGAACGAAGAAGAAAAAGAAAAAGAAGAAAAAGTTTCATTTCTTACGGTTGATCGTCGCCTGTCTTTTCGATATCGTGTTTAGCTCGACACGTACGCACCCATACCAGCTCATCTGGGATTTTCATTTATGCCGATAAGAATTTCCTACTGATAAAGAAAATGGCCTCGTGTTCGCGATTCTGACGCAACCTTTCGGTCATTCCACAAAAAAAAAAAAAAAAAAAAAAAAGAAAAAAAATCGAAAAGCGATCGAGGAAGGAGACACCTCTTTTCGCCTTCATCGGGTGACTCACTCCAACTGATTTTTTTCGTTTCACCTTAATCTCTTCGCGAAGGTTGTCGCTTCTCCAACACTTGGCCGCACTCGATTCCCTCGCTCGTTCCCAGGATGGCGCAGAGGCACGTAATCCGCGCGCGATTCCCCATCATTCGAAGAATGAAATTTCGATTTTTTAATCGATCGGCTCGAGGCTTCGTTCCACTCTGAGCGTGATGGAGCGTGGGCACGTCGCCCGTCGTTCCTCGCGAAGAACTCGGGGCCGCTAGACTAGAGAAACGGCGCCCTACGCCTTCCTGGCGAACCCGACGACTGAAATTATCATTTTAGCTGATATACTAGCTAATGTAAGGATGCAGTTTTATCTCTTATTATCATGGGAAACGAGATAAATCGCGATAGTGCCGTTTATTTTGACAACGGCGTACCTCTCGCCGATGGCTCGACGAAGGCATCCCCATCGCTGCCCACGCGGGACACCCGCTCGGTCCAGACACCCGCGTCTGGAAATGTATTTATACGATAGGGTTGCTCGTCGCAATCCATTTTCACCTTCTTACCCGTTATTTATATCCGTGCGTATCCTTGCTCGAAGATCGAGAGAGAGAGAGAGAGAGAGAGGAGGAGGGGTGTCTCTCTCTGT